CACGAGTGTTGATATAACTGTATATCAATACGGAAAAAAGTTTTATATTTGTTTTATAATATAGCACAAAGAAATATAAAGAAAGAAATTTTCCGACGTTTCCGTGTTGACATTGAGTTATATCAACACGGCTCTTAGCCAATGAAATTTACAAATGCTATATTATAAAAGTTTATATATATCATCATATACGAGTTTATACGTCATCATCCCTCATCGTCCCTCATCCTAACTCATCCATTCGTTCACATACATCAGGAGAAGAAAATCGCATCTGAAATCGCAGCAAAAATCGTAAGTATAAACGGGCCTTAACATTGATTTGTAGTATGTTGTCATAACCCATATATACATATGACCTCGATGCACAATATCCCAAGAGCTTGACATTTTTGGCAGGAAGTCATTATGCAATGCAACGTCATATAGTGAAGATAATTTGAATAGCAAAAATTGTTAAATATCTCAAGCACGAAGCAAGTTTGGCAAAGTATATATCTTATTTGGCAATTTTGTGTTTTCTTCACAATGCCAATCATAAAAGAATGGTGTGAAATTCTTTTGCATTTTGGCATTGTATTACGACAAAATTGCACCGGCTCTTTGCCATAGTCATAGTTGAATATTTTTTCATGTAGGTATATTATTAAAGTTGTATTCATTATAAGCTAAAGTGTTCAGCGCAAGACACCAAGACAAGAGTTGTATATGTATATTGAAAAGTATGAAGCTTGCTTATCTGAGGTTTAAACCCCATACTTTTCATGATCCAGGTCGACTAAAATAGGCGTGTATATTTAATTTTGTTTCAAACAGGCGTGCTTTTCACGAGCTAAAGGGTACAGTGCGAGGCACCAAGACAAGAGTTGTATATGTATTTAAAATACTCATTAAAAATTGATAAACCTTGTGCCGGGCAAATCATGTCAGCCATAATTTATCACGTGGAGTGACTTTATAGCTATCTCATAAAACTCATCTTCATTAGTATTCTTTATATAATTGTTCATCCTAATTAGTATGATTATATAATTGTTCATCCTAATTAGTATTCTTTTGTAGTCGTATTTTAAGCTATTCAAAACACTCGAACTCGCGTTTTATCATATCTAAAACGCTCGGCTGCGCCTCGCGTTTTAAATACGATAAAACACTCCTTCTCGTGTTTTAAATACTACATATTATTTGTGTGATTAAATTTTGTGATGGAATCATTTGCTATATGAGTACAATATTGAAAAGTACGAAGTTTGCATATCTTAGGCCCAGTTTAGACGGAGTACTTTTCATGATCCGAACTTTTAAGTTAAAATTAAAATTCACATTTTAGTCGACTAAAATAGGCGTGTATTTAATTTTGATTCAAACAGGCGTGCTTTTCACGAGCCGTACACTTAATTAACTTCGCTTCTTCCCTTCGAATCCTGGGACGAGTGACGTTCGTAACAACAAAAATGGCGGTCGTTTTGAAATATAATCCCATAGGATGTGCGTAGTTCTCGTAATTAAACACCCTTTTTTAAAAGCTATGCAAACCAAGCATGACTCCTGGACGGAAAAGGGTTATTTTAATATGCAAAAAATCGCTTACGAAGAACAAAACAAGAAAAAAGCGAAATATCTTGATCGCTACTGTTAAGAATAGTGTTGTGACCTGATATTTGCAGCAAAAATATTTCATTTTGGTGTTTCATCAAAACCAAAATTTCTTCATTTTAGCATTATCTTACAGACGAAGATACTTTTAAAATTTGTTTCCCCATTCAGAAACGTATCAAAAGTTAAAAATTAACATTCAAAATAATCTATTCTTATAGACTACATTCACACTCACACCAGAGTCGGCAGATTTAAATTTTATTGTAAATAATTTAAATATACACGGCGCCTGGGAAGAACATCTTCTGATGATAGGCTTCCGTGCCTAAATAAAGTTCAATAACAACATCACACTTCGCCGTTACAGTAAACTGTGATTAAACTAGCGCTCGTGTAAACCGAAAATATTTCAAATAGAGCAAAGTATAAACGAAAAGCATTCGACTTTACTGTTTTGACACCTGAGATGCATGGTTTGCACGGTTTGGTGCAAAAAAGGTAACGACGTTTATGTTCACACGAAGCCGCCAAGCGCTCCGACCGTTTTCATCTCGCTCCGTTTAGAAACCGTGCCGTCAAATTGTTTACGGCAACAGTGACGTTTTCAAACAATTTCGCTTCGGCTGAGTGTCAACGCGACGGCTAATTGTAACTTAGTCTTTCCTGCGCCGTTTTCAAAAACAATTTTTGGTCTTAATGATTCCAGTTTGACTCCCAACCGCGACATGAACAGATTTCCCTCGCGGGTACTCAGAGGCTCCCTCCACCAGTAACACGGCTGGCCAAATAAGTACTTACGAACTAAAGTACCCACGTTCCCTCGAGTAACAAATACTGTACTATAGCGGCGTCGGAGCGTCTGAAAAAGTGCGGTAGTGATTCACATGTTAGTGCCATCAAGTGGGAGATACGACGCACCACCGTGAGAAACACACAGTTTTTGCGGGGGCTTGAGGAATGTTCGTCTGGAAAACGTTTGTATTATCGGGCTCAGGTATGCCCGCCACTCCCTACATTATGGAAAAAATAATTAGAATTCTAACAGTCAAAACGCAAAACGCCATAAAATAAACTGTTGCTATTGAACGTATAAAAAGTCAAAAGGGCTCAAACATATTCAGTCGCCCCCAGCAAAAAAAGTGGAGAGGCTCATCTCCCACCCAAAAAAGTGAAAAGGCTCATTCCCGATGCATAAAAGTGAAGGGACTCCCGCTCTTCCGAAGCTGCTACTGCATGTACTACATCAGTTATATGTACAATAGAATGAAATTTAGTCTGCAGTATTTTCATCGAAGATTGAAAATGGCAGCCGTAGGCGTTCAGACATTTCCGGTATAAAGTCAATACTTGATCAAATAAACCTACTGTCTTTTTGAATCCAATATTTTAAATCCTAAAATAAAACCCTTTCTAAACAATCATTCCCAAGTCTTTGAATTTATCCTCATTAAAATAATTTACGAACACTTAATTATGCAAATTGGTCAATTTTCCAGAGATTGTGTTAAATTACCATACAATATATCAAAATAATTGCCGTATTTACATATTTACGAAACTGCTGCCGTAATGCTTTTTGAGTATTCGTGGTTTTCAAACGCTTCGCGGTGGCTTTTGTCAAAACCATTGTTGCCAACAACATTGTTTTATCGCCCTACACTTGTCGCCTTTATTCTGGTCGTAAAATGTTGATACAAAGACAATCTTTTTATAACGGAACTTCTCTTATTCGCTTCGTAAGGGCTCAAGCCCATATATGTCTTATGCATAAATGCCAAGCCCTTTTGCTTGGCAACTGCTTAGGTTAGATATAGTATTATTACGGAAGTTATTCTCTAGAACTTAAAGTTTTTTGTTATTGTCTTTATCCTGCTGTCGTTTCAAAGTGACTCTGGCTTTCGTTTCAAAACACACGGATTTACGAATGGAGTAAATAGACATTTTATGTGTTACAAGATTGTTATAAATGTGGAAAAAGTTTACTTGGATAAACGTGAATATTTCTTGCGTGTTTTCTCTGGATATGAAGTTGTTATGATGGTCGTATTAGTACAAAGAGCTTGAAAGGCTTGGCAAAGGAAAAAATACCGAATCACGATCTTTACTTGGATTTGGGTGAATTTGAGAGATCGAAAGGTCGGCGGATAAGTGTGTAAGGTAAAAAAATATGAAGCCTACGTAAGAAATGTAAATCTGCTATAAAATATATATATAGTAAAACAATTTGGCCATGTAGCTATATACGAGCAATACTTTGATTTCTTTTGTCAAGAAAGGGTCTTTAATTTCTGACCTAACGCTTCAATATCACCTTATATATACAGTTATTCCCTTTATATATGAGGAGTCGACTATGGTTTTGAGTATACAATAATAAGAGATGAGGGCGGTAGATCGTGGGTAACATCTCTGACAGGAGCACGAAGAAATTATAAATATACCTTTCATTGACTTATTCGTCTATATATATTTACACATCACAGAAAATTAAAAAAAATATATAATTTTTTTTAACTCCGCCTGATAACTGTATAGGTTGAACACTATATATATGCAATGTAAAAATAGATCGATGCTGAGTTCAGAAATACGCGATATAGACTTGCTATTTAATTCTAGCTTTGTATCTGATTATGCAGTATAAAGCGAAATTATCGTTTCTTACTTTCGATAACTTCATGAAATATAAAGTATAATTTAAACATACTCAAATAAAAGTTCCATCTTGAACACAATATTTGAGAAAAGAGAAGAGACAATATTCAACAAGATTGAATCTTGTCCCCTCTTGTCTTTTCCCAAATATTGAGTTCAAGATGGAACTTTTATTTGGAGTATGTTTTATTATACTTTATTATACTTTCCATCACACTGCATATCCCTGAGAATTTTGGCTCAAAAACTGCGAGTAGCTAAACACACCAATGCGTGCTTCAAAATTTAAGGTAAACTTACTCAAATATATGAACAAATTTGCTCATTTTTTTAAAGTTTCAAATTCAATAAATGTTTCGAGTAAACATTTTTTTGCTCAAAAGAATGAGTAAATTTGCTCCTATATGAATTTGAGTTTCTTTTTCTGAAATTTTGAGTGACTGTGGGCTCAAGTCTTTAAATCAATCATTTTTTTTTGCAATGTCATGACATTTTATATAAAGAATACATATATCTCCAGCCTCTGTATCGACATATATAATTTGAATTTGTTTTAAATGGACGGTTTAAATGATATTGATGAATATTTCAAGCAAATGTTTCTAACGTAGTGCTTTGAGTTAGTCATGTATAGGTGATGATGTCGTAGACGGCGGAAGCCGCTCAGACAAATTTTTAGAGCATTTTTATTTTTCAATAATCACATTTTAACATTCTTAACTACCAATTATATAAGTTCTAGTAGCTCACAGGCCTCATTTGAATCAAACCACAATAAATATGTATATTTATAGCTATCGCTCGAATCTTCCATGCATGCCTTTCACGCGCGTAAAGGGATCTATACTTATAGTTATAGCTTATTTTTGATAACATCCCTGTACTTGAACAATGCATTTAAATAAGAATTTTATAGCTGGTTCTCTCATGTGCTTTCAAGGTTTCTTTTCTTGTTCTCCTAAACCTATAGTAGGTATTAATCGTAGAGTATAGCTAACTCTCTGAGACCTTTGGTAGGCCTAATTGGGTTAGGGTTTATGAAAGTTAGGAGTTAGAGTTTAGGGTTTCTTTCCGTCCAACTGACACTGATAATTTTATACACATCGAACCAATCAAACAGTATCTCTCAAAAGTCTTACTCTGAGAAGGTGCTCTCAAAATATTTCCTTCAAACGTAAAGCTCCAAAATTATTTCTACTTTTCAGGCGATTACACTGTAAATTTCAAGGAATTAAATTAACTCCATAAGTGTTATTTTGTAACCAAAAACGATGACAGCTTTTTTGGAGTTGATTGAACTCCTCGAAATATATATGTATAGTGTATGCATGTTATTGCCAAATATTGGCTAACAGCCGCTCACTCATGTATGTTCATTGTCGTTGCATGAGAAAACCTTGCCGGTCATAGTCAATTGAAGATCTTAATTTGTAATATAAGCTTGAATTTCAATGGCGAAGTTAATAAATAAATTAAAGTTAAGAAGGTGCATGTATAAATTATCATATTCACATTTCTTGATCACGACCTCAAACAAAGACAAACAACATTAATATTGAATATAACTTACTAATATTTAATTTGAAAATTATTTCACATGATGCATATTTTGCTATATAATTAATACACTGTCTTGTACGTTAATATATACTTATTTATTTTATTGTGTGTACTCAGTACAGCGACAACGCGTTCTGACCGCATCTATCATGCACTTCTGTCTCCCTTTTACGTTCCAAGACAAATTTTATGGCTACTAGTCCATTTTCATTTTGTTCATTTTACCTTATTGCATGCTGAATGTCTTCAATATAAGAGCCATGAATTTTTACCTCCGGGTGTTTGGCGCGTTTGACGTATATAGCCACGACTAATTGTAAATTAAACGATTCAATAATCCTCAACGTCAACGACCTTCCCTATATACGGTTAAAATCATTGTGCTTCAATGATGGCATATGTGCATTGATGTTGCGGTGGGAAAATAACTTTCACTTATACGATCCACTTGATTGATTGAACATGATTTCGTGCTCTTTAGTAAACGTACAGAAAGAGCGTGATAATTTCTATTATAAGCCTTGAACAGTACGTATACAGTGCATATTTAAAAGTACATTTGGCTGCGAGGAAGCAATTAAAAATATTGTTTGCAATTATATTGTCATTTTAACGTACAAGACTCTCATTTATAAAAGCATTAATGCTTGGTGAATATATAGTAATGGCACGATATATATAAAAGTCGAAGATAATTCGCAAATGACATGCAGGGATCAAAACTGCACGAGCGACGGACAAGCGACACAATAGAGAGGTTAAGATACCCCGGTTTCGGTGTACGGGTACGGGTAGCATGATTTTGGTTAGCAATATTTTCGTCGATGTCTGTACTTTTACTCGTAATTAAGGTGCACATTTTTCGCATTATATCATTGTCTATTGCAAGAAAACAGAAAAGTATGATCGAATTACAGACATCAGTTAAACAAGATGACACTACTCGTACCCGTACACCGAAACCGGGGTATCTTAACCTCTCTAATGTACACCTGATCCTACCCCTCTGATAATACGCATGCAGGCATGATACAGTTGCTGTTAAATTCGTTTAAATCTTTTTAACAACATTGTACGGTAAACTATGAATTACTTTATACTTTCTGATGTGTTATAGTAAAGATGTATAAGTGTATTCTGATTGGAATTTTAATAGCAACCCGGCCATTGTGTACATACAGACAAAATTATATAGATTATAAAAAGATGATTTGGAATAGGGTTAGGGTTAGATTGGGGTCAGATTAAGGTTAGGTTAGGATTAGGCTCGGGGGTTAGATTCGGGTTACAGACCGAGTTCAAAATAGTTGAGATGATCATCTTTGTTGGGTATCGACCGTATTTCTCAATTTAATTTAATTTAATCATTTGTCACCACACAATCATTACGCATACATCTACAATAAAGAGAGGACACAAGTGTGACTGGGGAAAGGAACAGGACTTGCGTCCCAATTGACACCTGATCTCAACATTATAACTAGACTTTGCTGCTTGTTGCCCACTGAGCCCAATGACCTTCCTCATGATTTAGATTCCTGGTTGTTACCCATTGACTACAAAGTGACATGGGTGAAATCAGTTACTGTTAATATAAATGTGTGATGATCTTCAACTGTAAGGCCAATGAAAATTGATATCATGTTTCTCGTCCCCGCCCGCATGGGATTTATCTGCCGCACGAAAATTTTTCATTATTCATTATTCTTAAAAAATGGGTTTAACAAAACACCAAATTAATCACCAGATCAAAGTCTTATTGCTGCATTCCGCAAGCGCAACTCAAATTGTATCTTTCTAAATATATTACTCGCCAGAATGCCTTTATTTTTCATGTCAGCCCTGGTATTAAATTAAAATGAATTATTCACCGATTTACTTCAGATTTTTATGGGGGTTTTTACTGGGTCAAGGAAATTATTGACAAGCAGAATTCAAATACAAAATAATAATGAAAAATGAAAAAATCCCGCTCCAAATTTTTGAAAATTGTGGACGAGAAACATGATATCAATTTTCATTGGCCTAATTGCAGACTAGCTAGCTGAATTTAATATATATAGATATTATTATAAAAGTTAATTTTACTACGGTAAAATCTCTTGTATATATATTCTTGCTTGCAAATTATTAACTACTGTAAAATTTCTCCGTATAATAATTTATTTTTTTTTGACAATAATTTCTTCTCTGCTTACAGAATGACTAGTGTAATTGTGTTTCTGCTTTTTGCAATGTCTGGAATATTGAACACTGTCGCACAAGAAGGTAAGATAGTTAATTTGATTATTGTTATGTTCTAGTTAAAACATGAGCAGCCGATTTTAACGTGCTTAAAAAACGACCCATCTTATGAGTTCATTGGCTAAGTAATTTTAAAAATAAACATTGTCTAACCCGAGAAAATCAAAGCTGAAGTTTATGTAAATCAGGACAAATCTTTATCTGCATGATTTACAAATATTGATTAAACATTCATTTCTTTTGTATTTTCCTCGTGAATTATTAATGAGATTTTTAAAACCTATAATGAATAGAAACCTAAATTTTGTATTTTTGTGAAATGTGTAAATAAATAAATTCATTATCTTACAAAAGCGATTCTTGTGGCGCTCTTTAAATAATAGTATTGTAGTATATTAATGACTACATGTCTAGACTTAGCCTTTGTGGTTATAACAGGGGGCCATGCAGCACTTATTTTTTTGTAAATAAACTCTAAATAATAATTCCATGTAACACACAAGTGCAAAATATATAAGTATACTAGATAAAACATGAGCAGCCGATCTTTATCCGATATACAAACTCGAGCCGAAGGCGAGAGTTTGTATATCAGATAAAGATCGGATGCGAATGTTTTAACGTGCTTAAAAAACGACCCATCTTATGAGTTCATTAGCGAAGTAATTTTAAAAATATACATTGTCTATAGGCGGACAAAATCAAAGCTGATGTTTATGTAAATCAGGACAAATCTTTATGCGATTTACAAACATTAATTAAACATGATTCAATTCTTTTGTATTTTCCTCATGAATTATTAATGATTTTATAATTTATCTTATCTTATACCCCGTTTTTAAAAGTTTTAACTTGAACGTTTTCTCTTATGTTTTCAGGAAGAATACCGAAAGAAACATGCCAGCTTCTTAAGTACGAATTAAAACATAGATTCATACAAGATCCAAATATTGATATCGAAAAACTCACACCAAACACAGAGACTTTAGAGGGTTTAAGACGTTTCATTACTTCAGAGAAACGTTGCTCGATCGCAACCGATATACACGTCTTCGAAATAATGTACGACAACACACCCGATGGTGGCATACCTACATACACAGAAACGATTAAAATTAAAGTTTCAGCAAATAGGACTATCGAAAAACCTAGAGACAGAGTGACCAGTTTGACAATTTGTTTTGACGACGTAATAGCTGCAGTTGGAGCCGATATCAACTTTCAGAACTCACTGCGGCTGAATGTTTCAGGAACATTGGTAGGAAGCAGTCCAGCAAAGAGTATTTCCGTGGGGCGAGAATCATGTTGCCATGTGATTTACAAATTTCCTGTGAGCATCAACCAATGTTGTAAACCTGGTTTTCTTGAAGATGGTGATAACTGTGGTAAGTACAAAGGATACCATTGCCTGATTATCCGAGGACATTTACCTCTTCCTTAAATGCGGGCCGGATGGAAGGTGAAAGACGTCTGCCAAAATTTCCTGTCTGGGTGCAGGAGAAAGAGCCAAAATTCTGTTTTTCCCCTGATTGGTCTGTTACACCACGAAATTTTAATCTATCTTTTCGATTGATTAATGCTAATTAGATTATACTATTGTTCATGATATGTTTAACAGTTTCGACTATAATAAGATCGTACGCGTTGCTGTTATATATGTGAAATTGACATCTCCTGGGACATTTTGACTGGATATTAAATATATGGGTGGAAATTGCGCATTAAGGCTCGTGTTTTACTTAGGTTAAGGTTATCATCGCGTATCTTTGGTTACCGTGGCAAACCCTCGCACCATATACTTCATGGGAAAATGTTCACCTATATGAGAAATATGTTGCATCCTTGTGTAATGATGCGCATGCATGAGTGTAAGACAAGAGAAATTAATTTTGCACAATAAAGAGAAGAGGCCCACGTACTGTTTAGCGGCTTTTCCTCTTGATCTATAATGTCCTTGCGCTTTTCGAAGAGGCACAGACACATGTGATGTAAAACGTATTCAAAGTAAACATATTTTACTACGCCAACAATAGACCTTTCCCCTTATAACCAAAATTTTGATCTAGGCAAGTCTAGACAAAAATTTCATCACAGCTTGAAAGAGCATCACAAAATTAGTAATATTCCAAAGTTTCGTTGCGAAATGTCGTAAAATGAGGAACATAGAGCCTTGCGAAGTTTGCAATTTTCAGTCATTTTGCATTACAAACGGGAAATTGCAGCTCCAACACCCGAATCGTATGTCAATTCCCGTTTGTAATACAAAATGACTGAAAAACGGCAAACTTCGCAAGGCTATATTATCCGCATTTTACAAGATTTTGCAACAAAACTTTGGAATATTACTAATTGTGTGATGCTCTTTCAAGCTGTGATGAAATTTTTGTCTAGATCGAAATTTTAGTTATAAGGGGAAAGGTCAATTCCATAAAGGAAGAAATGAATAAGGATGATTGGAAATGAAGCGGTCCATGTTCATTGATCGTCCGTTATTACTTTTTGATATACAGTAACATGATGCATGTTGTTAAAACATCTTGTCTCATTTTTCAGCCTGTCCTAAAGGTGAATTCCTGAACGAAACTAGTTGTGATGCTTGTCCTGAAGACACGTATCAACCAAACCCGAAGAGCAGCAGCTGTTTATCATGTCCCAATAGAACAACGACGTACGGAAAAACAGGAGCTGACAGTAGCTTGTCCTGTTTAAGAGGTACATATACCACTTCTCGTTTTGTTTACAACGTACAAGGAAGGTGCTGAAAGGGTGAAATGGGAACTGGGTGACTCGCCTATTTCTTGACTGGGAAGATTGGATGAATGGCAAACAGAAAAATGGGAATGGGAAAATCCATATACCACTATAACAAACAGTTGTAGTGGGACTTTTCAGAGTTTAAATTTCAAGGAAAGCTACGGAGAAAATTTTGATAGAGAGTTTTTCAAAAACATCCAGGAAGACTGTATTCTTTTTAGTTTACAGTTAAAACTGGGATTTGGCAAACAAAGTGGCTGGGAAATAGGATGTAGACACCCCCTCCGCCTTCAGAACTCTCTACAAAGTATACTTTACGGGCGAGAATATCTCAGTAGCTACAGCATTAATCTGCAGATCAAAACGTCCCAGGTTCGATTCCTCGCCGCGTTAACTCAGCGTATGAGTATAGCATGGTTTCATGCAGGTAAAACTGGACTTTGCCGTACGTTACTGCATATGAGCTGACGACAAGTGTAGTGCTCCGCCTAAGCAAAATATCTCCCTGGCCTATCGATCGAGAGCGAAAAGAGGATGAACTACCTTGCTGTACGGCTGATACCAACATTAGGACTCTTCTATTCTCTATAGAAAAAATAATGATCAAAAGGCCAACTGAAAGAAATCCTTCGATAAGATATTGGCGATTTTAACCTAATGTTGAAACTTCTATTCACAGCTTGTTTACCTGGCCAGAGTTACAACTTGACATCGCAGAAATGTGGAACGTGTCCAAAGAATACTTATCAACCACAACAAGGGGAACTCGAATGCATAACATGCCCAAATCAGACTATTACCAAAATTTCTGGGAGTACAAGGCGGGAAGACTGCGTTCAATGTAAGTATATACGTTTTAAGGCTGCATAAGCATGACTATATCCATAGGCATATGAGACAGGAGCGCTAGAGGCTGCAGCTCCCCCCCCTCGCCAAACCCAGTAGTGTTTAGTCAGGACGATTCTAGCATTAAAATGTTGGGCAATTTGCTAGGCCGGCTCGCCTGCTTGGGTATAATGTATTTTGTGATGATGTTAATGTTCAGATGTTGAGTCAGAGAAACTCAATGACAGATTGAAGTTTGTTTCATTAAATTCAAATTGCATGAGTTTTCGATATATTTCAAAGAATGAAATCCCAGAAATACATACTCATACTAAATATTTCCATATTTTTTATTTATCGTTTTAAGTCGTCAAGATTGACTGCATGCATGTATTTCCGTGCGTCCCAGTGTACAGGAGATATGTCCCTTCGCTATGATTATATCGCCATGCACCTAGTCCGGATCCAGTGATCGGAATGGTTCATTTTTTCATGGCAGCAAATTTATCTACTATAATATCTAAATTTAAATTTTGTAAAACAAGTTTCTTCAAAGGTCAGTTAAAATCTCGTGCAGGTCATTGCATAATCAAAAAAATAAATAAATTCTCCAGACTGACACTTGGTGAGATAGTTTCCATGCAAATGTAAAGCTTAAAGACAATTCAAGTGCTTCACTTTGACACCTTGTATAAGGAGAAGTTTTTCAGGGTGAGCTACTGGTTGTCTTGGCCACATCCATGTTTACTACATGTAGTAGCTGATCATACATGCTTTGTCTAGTTATCTGATACTCCAGCTGTAGAACATGCATGTTGAACTCTAAAAACACTCAGGTTAAAATTTTCTGCTTGGTTTATATAGAAATAACCCTATTTGGATTAACTTTGAACAATCGGATTAAAATTTTGGTGTAAATTTAAAATTTAGAATTTTGGTTAAAATTCTGAATTTAGAATTTTGGTTAAAATTCTGTTTTAATTTTGGTTTGAATTCTGTTTATTTACTGTTTAAATTTTGGTTTATATTTCTGGTTAAGCAAGAAATAAAACTATTTGAGTTAATCTTTTCGTGGTTATTGTAAACTTTTCCCTACTATATTCTAGTTAATTTGACCAGCCTTCCAGGTTTAATTATATATAACCAGACTTAAGTATATGGACCCCTGCTTATTTATCCACCTAAGTACCTAACATAGTCTAGCTAGCAAAGGGTATGCTTGTCAAATACAACCAGATTCTGGCTACATTTACCAACTATTGTACAGAGAGTAAGATATATTGACCAGTAAATTTCACCAAGAATATTAGATTAACTCAAATAGTTTTATTTCTAACATAATGTTGACAACATTATATTGTGATCTCACTTGAACTGCATCTTAAGATATTTATATAAAGAAAAAATGTAACAATAAACAAAGGCGCAAGTTTTCCGTCTTATTGTCTTTAAGGATCAATCAAATTAAGCTTAATAAGACGCACCCACCCAACCCTTTCATGATGAATAAGGGTACAATACTCAGTAACTATAGAAACTTAAGAGAGCAAGGTGCAAAATGGCGGGGCCGGGGCCCTTACCCTCGTCTTGATCTTCGCAATTCTCGGTCACTTCGCCATGGGGAAGCCCGGTTCAGATATGAGATTCAATGTCCATAACGGCGAGGGCCCTTACTCTCTCACCCTGATGATGTTTCTGCAGCTTCTCTGGGGGCCATTACCCCCTGAAAACCGCACTTTCCGTAACCCAATTTTGGCCACAAAGGCTTTGCGCGATTTATTGATCATATTCTAATTACATTAAAAATGGTTCTTAGTCAAATACAGTCTTCACTTGAGTTTTACAGTGGGTTAAGTGCAATAGTAATCATTGCAAGCTAACTTTGCATCTACACGCTTCATCCAGGGGAATAGCAAGCAAGGGAGCCTACTCGGAGCCCCATCCCCCAATATTTTATAAACGGGGGTAGGAATATGCCATTCGGCCCGCCATAAATATCGAATTTAAAATAATTGCGCTGACTCACGGATAGCAAAGACTCACAAATCATAATGAAATAATCAATAAAAGGGCCTAACGCAAGTAGAGAAGACACTGAGAATGTCATTTCCGACCTTCTAGAAATACGTTTATTAGGTTTCCTGTGCCCCTGACTTCATTCATGCTGACTTCAATTAATTCTAATTGATCTTTTCTGCTTTATTTAGCTTGCCCAGAAGGTAGCTTTTACAGTTTCACTAGAAATGACTGCGAGCTTTGCCCTAAAAATTTCTTCCAAACTCAGAAAGGGCAGTTCAACTGTGCGCCTTGTCCAACGGCAAGAGTTACCGTTTCCAATGGATCAAAGTTGCAGGAAGACTGTCTAAAGAGTATGTACAAACTGATTTTAAAACAAATGCATGTTAGTAAACATAAAGAAATCATATTTTAATTAAATTTCCGTCACAAGAGCCTTCAACTATAATTGTCGTCACAAGAGCCTTCAACTATAAGAGTTGAGTGAGATGCCAACAAAATCTCGATATTAGAAGAAATTACCTACTAACGGACCATTCCCCAATTAACCAAAATTTTGATCTCAACAAGTCTATAGACAAACATTTCAGCACAGCTTGAAAGAGCATCACAAAATTAGTAATATTCCAATGTTTCCTTGCGAAATGTTGTAAAATGCGGATATAATATAGCCTTGCGAAATTTGCAATTTTCAGTCATTTTAGATTACAAATGAGAAATGGTTACCACTTGTCTTCTGTGCGTAATACAAAATGACTGAAAATAACAAACTTCACAAGGCTATATTATCCGCATTTTACAACATTTTGCAACGAAACTTTGGAATATTACTAATTTTGTGATGTTCTTTCAAACTGTGATGAAATTTTTGTCTAGCCTAGTTAAGATAAAAATTTTGGAAAAGTGGTAACCATTTCCCGTTTGTAATCTAAAATGACTGAAAAACGGCAAATTTTGCAGGGCTATATTATCCGCATTTTACAACATTTCGCAACGAAACTTTGGAATATTACTAATTTTGTGATGCTTTTTCAAGCTTTGATGAAATTTTGTCTAGACTTGTTTAGATCAAAATTTTGGTTAATTCGGGAATGGTCCATTGTACAGGGTATTCAATACCAAGCCACGTTGCAACGTGTATAACCTCTTTTGAACGAGTATCTTATGTTTCTAACATATAGGCTGTTCTCGAGGATCATTTTTTAATCGAACAAAGCAAGGATGTCAAGAGTGTCCGCTGAACACCTATGAACCAAATTTTGGAGCCTTCGAATGTATAAGTTGTCCTGATGGAGGAATAACGCTCAACACATCAAGTACGACGCTGGAAGACTGTAGTAGAAGTAAGTAAAACTCAGTTCCCCATATCACTTAAACAAATCGTCACTAGCTTTGAATAAATGCTTTGCATCCTCTGATTATTGTGGCGTTGGACCATATATAGTGTATCAAGATATGATGGTCTGGAAAATGAACAGAAAGAAGTTTTGTTGTTGTCTGAGTTTATGGTAATTTGTGCATGGTCACGGTGATTGAGCTCATTGTATGTTTGTATAATGACGTAACCGTGAAATAGGGATAGCTGAGATGAAACGTGCAACCACGATGAATAATATTTAATGAAGTTGAGATAAAGGATTTGTGCATGGTGAGGTACAGTTCAGCATCAAACAAAGGTCTTCTATTTTGGGCTTTAAATTTTGGCCGGGTTTCCAGACCATCATATCTTCACAGACTATGGTTGAACTCAGGTGTTTAATTATTTTTCTGATGTTATTCTGAATGTCTCGTCACTTTGAATATGAAGAATAACCGGACTGTGTTGCGAATCGAACCCACAACCTTTATACTCATTTTGAAGTATAATATGCTGAAATTATATTTACACTCCTTTTGAAGGCACAGCATGTATGTAGACACATCTCATTTCCTGTTGTAAGTAACCATATTTCCCCCCATTTCCTTTAATAGATTGCTCTGCTGGTTCATTCCACAACTTCACGACCAAAAAATGTGAAAATTGTCCGTTACATTCTTATCAGCCAAAAGCTGGTCAAACTTCTTGTATTGCCTGCCAAGACGGAAGGATTACTATGAAAGTTTCAACAGTACGAGAGGAAGATTGTATAATAGGTATATCAAAAACTATTATTAAACCATTTTATATCCTTGCTAACATAATAGTGCATGGTACCAGAACTCCGTATTAGGACTGACCAAGTCACGCCAAGCACTCGTAAGCCAAACCATACATAATTTTTTACCACATTGACCTACTTTATTATAGCATACTATATCAGAACATGCCACAAGAAATCATACCATATCATTAAACGGGTTCTATCCCGTTGAACACTGTATTATAGGTCAAAATTGGCCAAAATGGCAATTCCTGTCAGGTAGGATAAAGCTTTCAATGGAAGATTATATCCCACTTGATGACGTGAGTGGGTTGGCTTGCTTCTAATATGAACACAATTTGAATTCCATGCAAAGGGCACGCAAGTCACTCAAGTCAGTTTCCGGGTAAACTTGGCTCCTATAAACAGGTCCTTAAAAATTGGCTAAAGCATCTCTTTGCCGTCATCTTTATAACAAAATGCCTATGGCAATGTTATGTTTAACTATAAAGTACTTATTTCTATTTCAATTTTCAGCGTGTTCTGCAGGAAATTATTACAACCTAACAATGGAAACATGTAAAGTTTGTCCTCTGAACAGTTATCAAAATCTTGAAGCTGCTACTTCTTGCCTATCTTGTCCAGCAAATCGCATCACTCGCAAAACAGGGGCAGCAAGTTTGACAGAATGCATTAGTGTCTCAGGTATGTGTAGAAATTTAGAAGAACAATTGAGATATTTTAGATAAATTCGCTTACATTAAAGTGGCCATTATGACCTTGCACCATAGTCGACAGAATAATTAAGAAGGTTCAGGGAACTCGATACAGACATAATAGTACTCATTATCTATGTTTTTGTCTTGGTTTATGCTAGAAATGATCGGTTCATCGTCACGTGTGTATTGTTTTTTCGCCCAACCAACCAATAGCAGTGTGTTAGTTTAATTACCCAGTCGTGATATTACACAACGGTTAGATGAAGATGCAGCTATTGGTTGCTCTAGCAAAACTACAATACACACGTGAAGATGAACCGACCATTTCTTGCAAAAACCAAGACAAAACAGAGATAATGAGGTCTATTATGTTTCCATCGAGTTTCCTAACCTTCTTATTCTATTGACTATATGCTCGTACGGTGTAAAGGAATCTGCATGGAAACAGGAATCTATAGAAAAATTTGCGCTTTGAAATATAGAACCCAGAAAATAAATCCGGCATTCACACAGGATCCGGAATATAAAGGAATCCTCTGATTTTACCAGAATGAAATATATTCCTCTTCGATCTTGTTTGCAATCAAAAACCTATCCCCAACCTTATAAATATTCATCAAGTAGCCTAAGAATAACTTTCGCTGATTTGATTAGATATTCAATAATAAAATACGAATGTGTTCTGATTTGGGGTTGGTTGTTCGAAGGCCGATCAGCTTAACCCTGGCAGCTTGTTTACAAATTTGGAAATGACTCTTCAGAAATCTTGTCTGGATCGATAGGAGTTTACTTCTCTGAAGTTTTCAAATAATCAGAAGTGTAGAAATACATGTACATAAACTAAAACAGCGGGTTAAATTTTAACCGAGGGTTAGCGCTACCCACTTTGGAACAACTGGTCCCAGCAAGCTTTCTTTTTTAGATGCTGAAGAAAGTCCTGGAGAAGATTTGACGGTAATAGTGGCAATACCTGTCGTGTTGACAGTTCTCGTAGTGTCAGCCTGCTTGCTTTTGATCTGTTTCTACCGAAGATGGCGAAAAGAAAACGATAGAGTAAGAATCTTCAGTATTTATCATGAATAGCTCTCTACAGAGAAGGATTGTGTAGGTGAAAATTTCGAGTGTAACTTTTCATACATTTATTAGACCAAACCAGGTGAGGTTGCGAAAAATGTAACTATATATAGGCCCTCTAGGGAACGAACCTGTGGCCCTGCGATTCAGGTGCTCTGAGAGTTCAGGCACCGTACCGGAATTGCAGGTGCTCTTCCATATGCGAATCGTTTCAATTTCCATATCAATTTCCATTTGATAGAGAGACTTGCACTCGACAACTGGCCTCTGTAGCTCAGTTGGTTAGAGCCAGCGGGCGGAATCCTAGCGTTTTCTGCAATCTGATTGGCTGCAGCAGCGGACGGAATTTTACGATATTTGACCACCGTCAGGAACCCTATACGTAATGGCCGAAGCAAAGCAAAAATTTTTTGTATTTGTTTGTTTTAAAACTGAAAAATATGAATATGTAATTTTGAAATAATTTTAATGATGGATAAAATAATTGTACTGTATTTTAATTGAACTGTTTGTTTTCTAAAGTAAAATAATTAAATATCAAAATTTTTTTATTGTTTTGTTTCCTATATGTGCAATCTAATAAAACCATTGCCATTTGCCTCTGAGTCTTCGACAAAAAAATAAATACGTTATTTACCGTTTAGGTCGGTCCGGATAGAAAAATATTTTGTCTCGGTCTCAAAAACGTCCCTCGGCCTTCGGCCTCGGGCCGTTTTTGAGACCTCGACAAAATATTTTCTATCCGGACCTCCCAGCCGGTAAATAACATATATATAAGAATTTACACTCGAAATTTAAATCCACAAAATCCTTCAACAATTAGGTCTATCGAACAAGATGCTGAAAATCATCTCTATAGAGAACCTATTGCTCATGCCTAACCCTTAATAACATATTTCTCTTTCTCAACAGAGAATGTCTGCAGGACCACTTGATCCACGCAGGAGGGCATTTACAGACTCCGATCCAGAAATGGCTCAGAGACCCAAGCTGAACTCCGTAGCCTCCATGCCAAACCATCATTACAAAATGAAAGGCGCTGGCCTAAGACCAGATGACCTAAGACCAAGCATTAGAATTGCCAATATTCCAAAGGAGTTGGAAATTCCGAGAGAAAATTTGAAGTTCCTTGGTCAGGTGCTTGGGAAAGGAAATTTCGGAAAGGTGGAAAAAGCCATTTTGCTGAAAGATGATAGGACGGAAAATGTCGTTGCAGTAAAAATGATTAAAGGTATGATGGAAAATTTGCTAAGAAATGTGCATTTTGATCAAAAGCTTTGAGATTGTATTTGGATCTTCATGAAAGATTACTCCAGCAAAAACAATTCTTTTGAAAGAGAGGAAAGATTTGTTGCTTCTTCCATATTTATATATCTGGGTGGGACGAATTTCTGGAAACCAAAAATTTAACAAAATCTTTTGTAAATCTTTAATGAACATATGGAAAGAATCTTGAGTTTGATTATCTTATGAATTCAAGACAGTTTTAAAAGGTCAAGAAAAGGCTGTTACCATTCAGATGGAATGGTATTTCCATTCAGAAAAAATATTATTGCCGTTGAGATATGAGCCTGAACAAGTCCAAAACTGATTTCGACCTTTAATTGGCTTTTGCAGCTGGCCAAAGTTTAAAACAACGAAAAGTATGGAGATTTGCATGGCAAAAAGCGAACAATCACCGGATCTAGTTTGCTCTGCAAACTATTGTAATTGAAGAATACTTTCTCAATGCCCACTATTCGTTTTAAATAATCACTATTTTTTTTAGGGAACTTCATCTAAACACCTTAAACGCTTTAAAATAGAACATCCCAGCTTTGATTTTATCATTATCAGTTTCGTTGTAAAAATTCCATAAATCTGTAACAGTCGGCAAAACAAGTAATAAAAAACACTGGAATTTTTTTTCAAAATCCTTGCTATGGAAATAGTATGGATCTTCGTTGGAAATAGTATGGAAATCCTATTTTTTAGCCTAATTGCCATTTCCATACTATTGAATATATAGTATGGAAATAATATGAATATATTGTGATTTAGGAATGGGATTGCAAATTCCATAGTATGAATTTCACTATTTTTTCTAGTGAAATATGATGCATTTTATTCTTACCCCTAGAATTGGTAGCCCCCACTCTTTTTGGCGTCGTGGACGCTTGAACTCCCAATAATAGAAGACGATGCGATGTTTTCTCTATTTATTCATATCTCTTACCTCTTCTCCGATTTCAAGGTGGCGGCACATTTTCAGACGAGAAGGAACTGTTTGATGAGCTGGAGATGTTAGCGAGTCTGTATCCACACCCTCATCCAAATATTGTCAATCTTGTTGGTGGATGCACAACCAGTAATGGTAGGTAACTAGAAATGAAAATGGAATGTTCATAAAATGCATGTCTTAAACTGTTACTAAGTGATAATACCCATACTCTGTTTTTAACTGTTTTGAACCAAAACTTCGGCTGCCTAATTGCAGCAGACTTTTATATAATTATAGGTTGAGAGATATTACATTTGCAATCAAAATTAATTGCTGAAAAATATTTTCTTTTATAGGTCCCTTATTTGTGGTAGTGGAATACTGTGGCGAAGGGAACCTACTAAAATATCTTCAGAAGAACCAAATTCAAGCGAAACCAAAACAAGAGTATGTCAACATCTTCCCGAAGGCTGAAAAACCTGGCATTAAATATGAATGGAAGTTGCAGAAGGCATTGGAAATTTGTCATGGAATGACTCACTTGGCCAAATTCAAGGTAAATGGAATCCTCTATTTATCTGTTGTAGTTTTGGTTTAACAGTTCAGAACTGAGAGGGTTGTACTTCTGAATAAAGTTAGTCTAGTTTATGTTTCTTCCATAGTGGGAATGGTTCTTAGGACTGGACCATAGAGCAATCCACAGTTAGTTTAGTTTAAGCTGAATAAGGGGGGATCTTGGGAGGCTGGATTCCGAAGAACATTTACCTTAGCACAAACATTTTCAATTTTTAAAACAGATGTTATGGGAGAAACTTAAGGAATCATTATATCATACTTCCTTATCTGTCATTTGAATGGGCATAACTGCATGGAACTCTGGGAGAAGAACTGTGAAAAGATTAATTAGATGCAGTAATACTTGCTCTTCGTTTAGATCATTCACAGAGATGTTGCTGCAAGGAATGTGTTACTCGATGAAAATTGGGTGGCGAAGATTTCTGATTTTGGAATGGCGAGAGATATTTATGTCAAACAAATTTATCGCAAGGACACAGAGGTATACATAAATAAAAATAGAAGATGCACTGTGAAGCAATGAATTCTGCTTGAATTCATCTTTTGCAAATATTTAGAATAGCAAGACCACAATATGGAAGCGCGTGAAATAGTGCATGATTCATTGACATCTACGAACGGGGTTTCGTTCGTGCAAAATACACTTGTCTGATTATAATTTCGTTTCAATTTAACTCAATCGCCATTTTTTAACGCCATTTTCTCAGAGTACTTCGGTTTTCTCGTGTGCGGAACTCATTGGAGATCTAGAAGCTATCAAATAAAATGACATACTACATACAGAACTAGAGTAATTCGTATTGTATGCAATTTAGTCACGGACTTTTTTCATATAGGGATTTCTACCAGTACGCTGGATGGCCATTGAATCATTGGAGTCGTTTATTTATAATACTCAGAGTGATATGTAAGTATGCCATGATATACACCAACACGCGCGACATTTTAGGTGCGGATTGTTGTAACCATTAAAACGTCTACATGCATGAGTTATTCAAGGAGATTTAGTATGTCATTAGGTTTCTTATAGCAATGGAAAGAAACACGTGATGATCTTTGCTATATACGTATAGATTTTCAAGTATATACAGTATAGATTTTCAAGATGGAGGCTTGTTTTCAAGATCATTATAAAACGTGAAACAATCAACGACAAGGCACTCGTAGCAATCCAAACCATATCTAAACATAACCCACACATAAATTAACACTAAGCCTAACATTACCATCAATTGAAATTTTGTTTTCTTTTGCTTAGTTGGTCATTTGGAATACTTTTGTGGGAAATTATGTCAGATGGTATGTATAACTTGATATACAGCATTGTCAAGTACTATGCATGCGCCACATCAGAGCATTAGTTGTCAGTAGTAAATACCACGATCATAAAATATGATACTTTGATCAAATATAATAACGTGCTGGTAACCAGTGGTGTAACGAGTCACCAAGACACCAACTGGTCAAGTCACGAGTCGAGTCACCCAAATATCGAGTCACGAGTCGAATCGACTCATTTCATTATCTGGTTGAGTCGAGTCGAGTGCATTTCGGCTGATGAGAAAGATCATGATTCAATCTTTACGACCATTACGACCATATGGAATCCTGGCTTAAGCTACCCCAATCGAATGTCGGTATAAACCACACAAGACTCATGCGGCAAAATGATATACAGCATACAATCCTTTACAATGGGTGAGTAATACCACAACAGTTTCAAACAAAATGTCTTTTATCTCATTAGGTCGTGTTCCATACAATAACATTTTGGATCACACACAGCTTTTGAATTACATCAAATCCGGAAGGATCATGAAGAGACCTAAAAACTGTCCAAAAGATTTGTAAGTAAAGAATTTACCGCTATAGCACTGCTGACTGGTGCATCGCTTTTTCATTGAACGTTTGAATAAACTTCTAGACTAAAAATGAACAAGAGATGGACGGAGGGGAAAATAGTATTATATTCTAGATCAAAGGAGGCCAGAAAAAAAGAAGGAAGAAAGAAAAAAAGAAATGGGGGAAAAAGAAAAATTAGTAGAAATATAGTTGTGAGATAAAGATAGTATGTGTGAGTAAGTGGGGGTGTGCTAATCATCCTTACTTGCAGCTGAGAGCTAAGCTGAATTACGAAGGACGCAGCTCAACCTGATCGAGTCGAAGACTTTATGAGGGTGCTTTCTGGCAGTCACATCATGACTCATTTCTGATCACAGAGTGCTGCCCGTGAAAGGTTGAGTTAGGGGGTAGCGCTAATTCCAACCTACCCTGTCATTCTGTCAACATTCTCTGTGGGAGGTAATCGAAGTAACTGGAGAAAACCCATGACATGACCCTTTTCACATGAATGTCTTGAGTCCTGCATGAACGAAAATCGTACTCACAATCTCCGATCTCACTGGCTCTTCTATTCACATAGGTATCACATTATGGAGAAATGTTGGGCTAAAAATCCTCCCGACAGACCAGCGTTTGAATCTCTCAAAGATGCACTAGAAGTTCTTTACGAGAATGAAGTTCACAAGGTATCATTTGAATACGTTTCCTAATTTGTTATATCGTTATACTGGATGTCTTTAACAATTTAAAAATGATAAAACTTTATTAGTTCTAAACTGTTCTCCCTAGAGGTGCAGTAAATAGTGTCACACAAGAGGGAACCCAAAAGCGATCATCCATTTCAAGAAAGATTGTGTGTGGGGGGGGGGGGGGGGAGAAAGAAGGCTTGTTACTGATTCTTAATTTAATAACAACAGGAGAACTAAACATAACGCCAATTACAAAATGACAGAGCCGTGCTTATAAGTTTAGCAGTTAAGGTGTGCTAAGTTTGGTTTGGCTCAACAAAACAATCACCCTTCTTATAGCTAGCAGAAGCTCTTCATGTCCATTAAATGTGCAACTTTTCGGATCCCATGACCGTATTCCAGTTTAATATTATAGTTACAAAACAATGAAAAATGACGTTTGGGACTGCGCGAAAGATGACCACGTCCGCTTGATGGGGGTGACTACTTAATAAAATAAAGGTCACTTCAACAGCATTGTGAAATTTCCAGGATTTTGCCAAATTTTCAGGAAATTTTCATTTGAAATTTTCAGGAAATTTTCAGGTGTTTTGCCAAAGGGGTGTCCACTTAATGTAGTGCCACTTAATACAGTAATAGATTTTGTTAAACCCCTAAAACCTATCATAACAAACATTTTTTATCTTACTAAATAAAGGAGGATGCGCTACCACAAAGAATTCTCCGCAAATTTAGCAGCCGAAGAAAAAAGCGTCGAAACGAGGAAGATATCGAAAATCCTGGCGGAAAAACGCGTGCCAAAAAGACTCTTAGCAACTCGTCGGGAAAGAAGATCGCCAAAATCGACGAAGAGGAGCCCAATGGGGAAAAAGTTGGCAAGGCTGAAGAAAAAGAGACAAAAATGGAGGTTTTGGATCCTGCCAACGAAACTCTAAATAATGAATTTGAGAATCAAGGTTACCAAAAGTCGGCGGGTAGTTCCACGTCGAAGGAACACGATGGTTCAGAAAAGAGCCCAATGAAACTGGAGCCCAAGGCATCCAATGATAACACTTTTGAATTAGATACTATTTCCGAAATGCCAGTGAGCAGGCAAAATGAAGAAATACAAGATAGTAGTATTGATTATGAAGAAATACAAGAAAGTAGTCATGATAATGAAGAAGATCAAAAAGAAAGAACTTTATCAGATAGTGCCGAAGTTTTTACAACGTCGTTACAGCATGAAATTGAAAATGAACTTAAACCACCGACAGAATCGGTCCAAAACGATGGTAGTTCATCAATACCAGATGAATTGACCGATGCAAGTGAACGACCAAGAATGTTCTCTACGGATTGTTAATATATGTAAAATTGAGGGTATATTTAACTATATATTTTTGTTTGTATATGATTCTTTTACTTAAAACTCGTTTGCTTTTGCATATTTTAAAACTGTCGGCTGAGCCGTGACTTTTCAGCCATTGAGTGAACGGACAGGTTACCAGTGAGCTCCATATATACTGGAGCGAGAATTCGAGTCCAAAAAGTGAATCCAAGATATGGCGGAAATTGAAGAGCTATTGGACGCATTGAAATGAACGCTACCTTTTTCTTGAAGGCAAATCTGACCCCCAGACACGCGTGTCTGGGGGTCAAGACACTCGTATTTATATCATGATTGACTGATTGAGCTATGGATTGAGCACTCTTCGTGTGCGTGAAAAGACTGCGACTGGCCCGTTGAAGTTTAATTGGCTTCAAATTTGCGGTAGGAGGTAGCGTTCCAGATTTATTCATTTCACCGATTTGACGTTCCAGTTCCTTTCTATTGTTTTTATCTGCGCGGTTTACACGAAGCTGGCAAGGAGTGTGCAGAAACTTCGTATTTTGACATCGATTTGAAAACCTGATAACTTGTTTAGCGATACGGTTTATTAAGTAGAACTGGAATCAGTGGGGAAAATGGTAGTATAACTGTTTACGACGTTCATATGTAGCTATTGGACGTCAATTTCTGCATCTGGCTTCACTTGTCTGATAGGCCGATCTTGCTCCAGATATATAGAGTTTACTTCATGCGGGTTACATGTAAACTCGGTTAATTCCAGGGAGTTCATCGAACTCCGAAGGAGTTATTTTTAACCTAATTGTACTCCACATTTGGAGTTAACTTTGTTTCAAAATAACTCTACTGGGAGTTTAACTTCTTGAAATGAACAGGCCAGTACTTCATCAAAAGTTTTCTTTTCTGCGTATTTTGATGGACTGCGAGGTTACGCCATTGTGATCCAATGAACTTTGATACTCAAGGGTAATTTGATCATGACTATCTGATGGCAGACAACAACCGCCACTCGGCCGTTTAGAAGCTTGTTGATCCCCTGCAGTGTCCTTAATTTACTGAGGAATGTGGTATTTGTTATCGCTGTGCTGTTTGTTATTGCTGAAACATGTCGAGGCACAAACAAAAAAGGATTCTAGTCAACAAGTTAAATGTTTTTACCTTTTGAAGCGAAAACATCCAAATTGACCAAAGCTCGAGTTCTGTTAGATATAGTACGGTCCAATGACATCCTGGAATTAGAACATTTTCATTAATGTTAGCAGCTTGATAAATAGGTAATAAAGCAAACTGCGAATGGGTTTTGACAGTTTTATGCTGGTCAGGGCCGTGCCGAGCGCTATCTGTTGGGGAATTCAAAAAGTCGGCGGGGTCGACAAAAACAGAAAAAATGTCCCCCGATTTTTTTTTTCGAACACTAGTTTTACATAATGGGGACTTAAATGTAGTTCCGGCCCTGATACTGGTGTTAAACAACGGTTCCCCCATGCAGTAGCTCTGGCCCTGATGCTGGTATTAAACAGCGAAAGCCAATTTATTGCTACTATTAATTTCTGATAATTGTTTCAAGAAATGTTCTCAAAGATTTAATAGTCATAGTCATAATTACAACATGAGGAGTAATGATATTCGTCACATGCACACATCATATGATTTACACATAGGACATACACATAAGTTATGAATTGCTTTGGTACGTTCGCGTAATATATGGAGGATATTACACGGCGGCGCGAAGACATCACTTTTATCTTCGAGTGGTGAAAACAATATTTTACGAACGAGCGCAGCGAGTGAGTAAAATATTGTTTCTAACACGAGAAGATAAAAGTCATATCTTCAAGCCTGACAAGCCACCGTGTAATGTTCTGTTTATTATATAGTTCCAAGCAAAAAAATGTGAAATTTCACGTTTGAAAGCAAATTGGAAAAAGTCACGTGATCGATATCTTCACTAGTGAAGATAATGGAAAATATATCTCACTGTGTATTTTTTAGTGTCTCACTCTCTACTATATAATAAACCGCACCACGCTTATATAATTAGCACCGATGAAGATCCATATCCCGACTTACGGTTCGAAAGTTTTGCAATAATAAATAGGTGGACGTGCTTTCCACCAACATGAATTAAATTAGATTATGTAATTTTTTTCGTATCAAAACATACCACGCGCCGTGGGAAATTATTTAAGAAATGAAACAGTTGTATGCCAACTAGTGACAACAGAAGAATAGCAACGACAATATCCGCATGCTAGTCTTCACAAATCACGGTGAGAACTTGAACAAAATCAATTCCTCGCCACTTCAAACAAATTCTTTTTGACTTTTTTTGAATTAACAAGGCAACTGCATGCTACAATAATCAACAAGACAACCGGATCTGGAATGTAACAAGACAACTGATCTGTCAAGTTTGCGGCCTGTTAATTGTCCCTGTAACGATTTCTGACAATTTAACATACTAGCAATATTTGTCATCAAGGGAATCTTGTTTATTTACACGGTTTAAATGGGGGCTTTAAAACACCCCTTTAGATTGTTTCGAATCATATCTAAGACGTGATATCAATGAGATTACCAAACAATACCACAACTCAATATAGCCACAGCTGGGATCCTATAACAGAATCACAAGTGGCATATAAAATATGCAAGAATTCAACACAAACAGGGAAGTTGAATTGCCAAAACTATGCATTTCATAATATACTTGCATTGTAAACAAGGAAGAAGCGAAGTCTTGTAGCTAAGGTAAGGTTTAACACCAAATCATTGCTAGATTACATAATTTGTTTGGAAATTCCTATAGAGTTATAGGCATTAATAGATTCTTTATAAATTGCGTCAAATTGATTCAAGTTTCAGAGAAAAAAAACGCATTACTCTACAGCCTCGGTCAAAGCAGGATGAGAGTTGGCGGTCACGAATTGTTACAGGGAACACTTCAAGCTCTAGATTAAGAAATAAAGGTTTGATAAGTGTTCCAACATGTTTTAACTTAGAATACATGCTAACCAAGGTCGCGTGAAATCCTCGCCGTCTTCATCTGGGCTTAAATAATTTCTTCAGTCTAGACATGTATAGTCATTTGTAACAGTTGGTCTTGGAAATTGTAATGAGTTAATCAGTTCAGTATATATATATACTGTAGCACTGAGACTATCAGATAGGCTATATAACATAATGATAAGCTTTGATAATTTCTAGTAAATTTTGCTATGAGCATGTATTTAAACTTTATACAGGTAATTATATATAAATATGTATACAATTTTAATGCTGTCTGATGACGACTTTGTCATAATCTCGAAAATTATAAAGGCCAGTTCGGAAGAAGCCAACATCACGTCCCATACAACATCGCCCACTATTACTGGAGGAAACATGTTGGCTTTGTTTGAACACTATATGCGAGTGTAATGTTAATTGGATCGAATTAGGACAGCTATGTTTAAAATTTCTACCCGACAATTTAACACTATCCAACAGTTTGTTGGACCAATTTAAGAATGTTGGACGGTGTTTGGACAGGTTTGAAGTTTGAACAGGGTTTAATCCTAGATCACACTAGCAATCCAGTCGGCGATTGTTCTCCGCCTGGCAAATGTGATCGATAACAAGTTGTTGGAACAACTTGTAACAAGTGTGTTGAGCTCAACCAGCTGGGAACAAGCGGTGCGTACAAATCAAGACATGTTGACAAGTTGTTAGAAATGCATTGTTTTGTGTGCATCAATCACCATATTAAATTTAACTGTTTGCTATATTTTTCTGATAGTTTGTCAAATATTGTATCAATTTTGTATCGATGCGTTATTTGTGGAGGCAAGCGACGCACGCATGCAAGTGTGTCTACTGAGCATGCGCAAACGACGCAGACAATTTGTCTATATACACAATGCATGATTCATCGACCTGTTTACCGTACTTAGATACGCAGAACATATGAAAAACTGAAAAAACTATACTTTCTTTACCTAAGTTGCCAACACTGATCATATGTCTCTATATACGATAAACTAGTTAATAATATATCTCAGGGAAGGGTGAAGAATTGTAGGGGACTACGACAACGTCGAAATATCAAGCGTATAACAAAACATAATAACAACCTTCCAGGGGCCAGGCCGGCCCTTGACCTCCTGTTGAGACAGTTTCAACCGCAAAGAGTATTAAATGCCCGAATAATCTTACACAGTTGCAAAGAATAATATATCGTGGGCAAGATGTACAGTAAATCTGCCAAGTTTAGGGGCCGCACCGCTTTTATATATATATATATATATATATATATATATATATATATATATATATATATATATATATATATATATATATATATATATATATATATATATATATATATATATATATATATATATATAGCTTAAGATTTTGGTTTACGAAACACAAACAGTGCTCAATACCATACAGATAGAGCGTAATATAGTTTTTCGTTTTACCTCAAAAAAACACAACAGTC